ACGATACAAACAAAATTTATTTGCCAGGCCTACTTCACAACTAACTATAGTGAAAAATAGAGCTAACTACATTTTACCTGAGGTGGTTTTCAAAATGAGCCAAGATGTAGTTTTTCCACGTTGCACTATGAGATTTTAAAATTGTATCAATTTGTACCTTGTGTTGATTGAGTGTCTAATCCATTCAGTAAATCGATGACATGCCATATGTGAGATCCATTTTTTGTGGGAGGTGGATTGTTTACCCTTCCATTTTCATACTCTCCACATGCCCTCCTAATATGTGATCATTGTTAAGCAACATCAATATTTTATATTAATTTTTTATAGAAATAATAAAACAAAAAGTAATAGAAATATAAAATGTTGACGTAGTTTAACCATAACCATATAAACAGGAAAAGATGAGAAGAGTATGGAAATGGAATGACAGATAATTCATCTCCTTTGTTGTGATATCGTATGAGCCACACACTTGCACTTTTTGGCCCAAATTGTATGCTAGCCCTCATAAACGTGTCTTACACTGACAAGGTCATTAATTATTAGAAGGACTGTACGATCAACATTCTAAAGACCTAATTGACACAATTTCAAAACATTACGAATAATAAGAGGACATTAAAATTATGTGCTCAATTTGAAAACCACAAGATATTTGTAGCAAATAGAAAGAAAAATAATGATATTTTTACCAATTTCGACTATTTGTTTTAACACAATTTGATAACTAAAATGTCTCATTTTTATTTATTATATATATGATCTTTATTTAATGAATTATTAATAAACGTAAAGTTGCATGATTTGGTGAACACGAAGTTGCGTGAATTGACGAAATATTTTGAGAAGGAATTCCATGACCATTTTTCGAAAATAATAGGATATTACATTGGTGGCGGTAAGGTTTTTCCCCGCCCAAAGAGTGAACGGTAAACTACGGACGGTGTGGATCTTCTGCTGATGCTGCATTAATGACACTGATTTCGCTTCTTTTTGTTGATAGGGTGTTAACGGTCGACAGTGCGAGTTGGTAAAACTCGCTCTAATGGCTGTGGCTGCTCCGACTCTGCACCGCCAATGGCTCCTCTTGTCGAACCCAATAACACGAAAAAGGCCGTCGCTTCCCGGCGGAGCAACCACCACGCTTAATCATTTGCAAATCCACAAGAACTCAGCCGGCATCTCTCTCATCTCTTGCTCTTCAACTTCTCAGTCCACTGAAGCCAATACAGAAACCCCCGAGTCTTGTGTGAATTTGGGTCTCCAGCTCTTCTCCAAAGGACGGGTAGTTTCCCATTTTTCCCTACTAATCATCGCAGTTTTCAGTTTCATTCAGCAAATTTTATGTTTTTGTGAGATCGGTATGTTGAAGTTTAGTTTTCTATTAGACGTAATGGCTATATGTCATTGATATTGGGTCGATATTAATGTTATCGGTTTCCTAACTAAGAAAAAATCATTGGTATTGATACAGTTTCGACAATATGGACTCTAACATTGACGCCAAAGGACGTCCTGCGCGTATGTGTCGAGTTTTCGTGATTTTCTTTATCTGTTGCTATAATATGAGCTAAAAGTGTTCATCTTTGAGGTTAGGAAAGCAAAAATATCGTATCTTTAGCTAGAATTGTTTATATGTTGAGTTTAGGAAAGCAGAAATGTGTCGTTGCGGTTTGTTTCTATTTGTTTACGTCTAGAAATTTGTATTTTGGTGAAAAGAAGCTCTCTTTTTTGGTTGTATTGAAGTATCTGATATCATGTCTAATTGTCTATGCTCCTGGTGTTTTCAGGTTAAAGATGCCTTAATTCAGTTTGAAAAAGCACTCAGTTTGGACCCCAACACGATCGAGGCCCAGGCTGCGCTGTATAACAAAGCCTGTTGTCACGCTTACAAGTATGGATTTCGGATTACTTCGTTGGTTTTCCTTCTGCATCTCAGACTCTGATGAAAATGGCCGAAATGCGTATTTTCTATCTGAATTTTACCTGCATCTAACTCTTATCTAGGCTGATAGGTGTTGTTTTTTGTTCACTTTTTGAGGAAGAGGGGAAGGAAGGAGGGCTGCTGATTGTCTACGTACTGCCTTGAGAGACTATGACCTCAAATTTGGCACAATTTTGAATGATCCCGACCTGGCCTCTTTCAGAGCTTTGCCCGAATTTAAGGAATTGCAAGAAGAGGTTTGTTAGTAAACTCGAACTGTTAAGTGTACCTGTTGTTTTGTCGTGTAAAATTTGAGAGTGCATCTCAGCTTCTGGTTGTTTCAACCATTTGGATTATGAAAGTGATGGAGTCATATAAATAGCTGTTATTCGTTGTTGAAACATTTGCCATGTTTTCCTCCGTGTATAGACATCTTCCGTAACGAATATTTCTTGTCTATACAGGCTAGATTAGGTGGGGAAGATATAGGCTACGGTTTTAGGAGAGATCTCAAGCTCATTAGTGAAGTCCAAGCACCATTCCGTGGGATTAGGAGATTCTTTTATGTAGCTTTCTCTGCAGCTGCAGGAATCTCAACGTTCTTTACTGTACCCAGGCTGTTCCGTGCAATTGCAGGTGGTGATGGTGCTCCTGATCTCGGGGAAACTGCCGGCAATGTTGCCATTAATATTGGAGGTAAAGTCAAGTGCTTTTACCTGCATATAGAAAGTTCAAAGTATGAATTTCCCTTCTTTTTGATGTGCAAAAGTACTGACTGACTTCAACTAGATAACCTTGTTATGAAGAACAATACTACGTTTGTCAGATATGGTTCTCGGTATGTTACTCTGCTTCATCGAAAAGAGAACGTTATAATCTTATAGAATATTTGGAGTCATATAATTTAAGATTCATTCAATGAGCATCCTTTATTTCATAGAAATTGGGAGCAACAGAATAAAAAACCAAAAGATCCGACTTTCACGAGTTTTAGCTTTTGGGTTCGGTGTTCACCAACAGTCATGTCTTCTTTCAATTTCTTGGGAGATCAAGGGATTGAGTATGATACTGAGTGAACTTATGTAACTTGCATTTTAATGTGGCTAAGCTTTTGGATCAGTAATCTACAGGTCTTATTGTTCTTGTGGCATTGTTTTTATGGGAAAACAAGAAGGAGGAGGAACAACTTTCACAAATATCTCGTGATGAAAATCTATCGAGATTGCCATTGCGCCTCTCCACCAACCGGGTTGTTGAGCTTGTGCAGTTGCGAGACACTGTCAGGCCTGTGAGTGCCAATGCTTTTTTTGGTTATCTGGAATCTTTCTATGTAGCTCATATGTTGATATTTCTCTACATCTGATTTCTGTTTTCATTATCTGGATTCTGGATATGCCAATGATCTGATAAAGTCTACGATTTAGGTTATTTTAGCAGGGAAGAAGGAGACGGTGGCCTTAAGTATCCAGCAGGCAGCAAAGTTTCGAACTGAGCTCCTAAGAAGAGGTGTTCTTCTAGTTCCTGTCATCTGGGATGAAGTTAGGGCACCTCAAATAGAGAAGAAAGGATTCGGTTCACCTTCAAAGGCAGCTGCTGCTCTTCCTTCTATCGGGGTAAGATGTGAAGACTCTCATCTATAGTTCTCTTGCAAAACATCATCCTTGTAGAATTAGATCCATGTTCTGAGCGAGCTTTAGATTGCGACCATTTGTTTCATTCTTCCCACTATATCTGTTGGCTCTATGGTAGGAAGATTTCGAGAAACGAACTCAGTCCATAACTGCAAAGTCAAAGTTAAAAGCTGAAATCCGATTCAAGGCTGAGGTTGTTTCCCCTGGAGAATGGGAAAGGTTACATGCTACTCTACATTGTCTACGCGCTTGTTTCGCCACCAATTTATTACTCTAAACAACAAAATGTTTTGTGTTTATATGCATCATTCGGTTTGTATGAGTCATTGTGTTTATATGCTTGTTTAGGTGGATAAAGGATCAGCAAAAGTCCGAAGGAGTTGCTCCCGGTGAGGATGTCTACATTATACTGCGCCTAGATGGTAGGGTTCGAAGATCAGGGAAGGTAAGTGCATACTGCATTGATTTACTTAAGTTCTGGATTTGAGTTTCTGAAATAGCCGTTTCTTTTGCTCCATTTGTTTCCATACACCCTATAAGCGTTTAAACTTGTTCAACCTAAGGAAAACTTAACTCCGAGCGTCATGCTCTCCTTTTCGTTTCCCTTTTTATTGTTTCGGAGTAGAATACATCTGTGATATACTCCGATATCTTTGCAGGGCATGCCTGACTGGCAACAAATTGTGCAGGAGCTACCGCCTATAGAAGCATTACTTAGTAAACTAGAAAGATAGGAGAGTTCTTACACCTCCCATCCCCCATAATATTTCCCCGAACATCATCCCTTTCGGGTCATTTTGTACTACATATACTTCTGCAGACTCACGATTCATTACATTCCGTATGTATTGTAAATTTTACCACGAAACGGTGAATTTGGGACGGCTATATTTGTTTATATACAACAGAGTTTCTTTGTTCAGACATCTTTGCCGTTATGCAACTCTGTGGGGGCTTGTAGCTTAAGTGGTTGAGCGTTTTACTCTCAAAATATTTCCCCGAACATCATCATCCCTAACCACCGTTATATCTAGCTGGCCAACAGAGTATGATAGAATGGCTTGTTTAGCTGTTGTTTTCAAAAAGATAGTCTGAATCTTCTAACGTAGCAAGAAGTTTAATCGAAGTCAGCTTAAGTTGCTCGAAGTTGTTGTAGTGCCCGCTGGCACAGGTTAAAAAACAGTATCAATTTCAATGATTAGTTGCATACTGACTTATGATTTGAATATACAGGCTAGCGTGCTTCAGTTTTGACGTGGCTCGTTTGGATGTGCTTTTAAAATGACTAAAAGCACTTCTAGAAAAATGTTTTTGAGTTCCAAAAGCACTTTAAGTGTTTTTTGCAAGAAGCACCAGTTATGTGTTTCTTCCAAGAAGCACTTTAAGTGATTTTTCAAGATTTACTTGTATATTTACTAAAGATTGATTCTAAAAATATTTTCACCAAAAACGTTTTCAGTCATTTTAAAAGCACATCCAAACGCGCTCTAAAAAGACTTCTAATAGCGTTTGATAGAAAACCTTGAACGTACTTTTGGGGTCAACAAGCCCTTCCTAGAGACAGGGAGCATTTCCAATTGCTTTTTCAAGAAACACTTGGTTTTTTTAATTAAAGTCTCAACGTCTTTCTAATAAAAGTGCTTTCAGCAAAAGCAATTATGAGCGGGAACAACCTGTAAATCTTACCAGCATATTTTTTTACTAGTGGTAAATTTTGTTATCTTGGTAGGTTTAGAACAGATTACGAATTCTTCCAATTTCAGCTTCCCTTGTTGCAATAAGAACAAGGTTGAATTAGTGCAAGTCACTTAAGTCATCACCTTGTTAGGTTATCTTCTTCTCTTGTTTTTATTATTTTAAGTAACTCTTAACAACTTTAAATACAAGTTGGCAGCCAAAATACACACAGCATACCAAAACCTATGGCCAATTCCTCTGCCATTATCTTTTCCTTGGCCTTCGTTGCTGCTTTGATCATCTCCGTTGATGCAAGCGGCGGTCATGGGGCGAGCTGGGTTCCAGTGAGACCCCGCTGCGAGGGTTCAGTAGCGGAGTGCATGGATGATCATGATGATGTGTTTGGCATGGACTCGGAGATCAGCAGGCGCATCTTGGCCACCTCACAATACATAAGCTATGGAGCTCTGCAGAGAAACACTGTGCCTTGCTCTCAGAGAGGTGCTTCCTACTACAACTGCAAGCCGGGTGTTCAGAGCAACCCATACAACCGTGGATGCAGTGCTATTGCTCGTTGCCGGAGTTGATCAACGGTGTAGCATGTTTTTCAGTGTTTATCACTTGGATTAAATAGAACATGTTGTGAATTGTAATGTTTTTATTATGCTTTATCTTAAAAATCAATCCGAGTTCGAATCCCCCTACTCTTAGTTTGGATTAGACTAGAATATCACTGAAATATAAAAAAGAAAGCTATCCTAATAACTTTGTGTGTATTTTTTCTCATCTTCCCATGCCTCGATTAACCAGAATCTCACCTAGGGAAAGGAGTTCCAAAATCATGGTCCAAGGACGAAGTATCAAAGTTTTCCCAGCAACGAAACATTCAAAATCAAGATAAACACCAATGAACTGTTAAATTCTGATAAGAAACAACGCACGATAAGACATCATCTCATATTAATGACTTTCAAAAGATAGATCACAAACAACATTAGCTACAAGAGCACACCGAGTGTACACAATTGCAGACAAAGAAAAGATAGCACACATTCGAAAACCTTATCAAATGTAAGACAAGCACTATGTTTATCTGCAAGAATGTAACTAAATTTATGCAGAACCTTCATCTTGCTTCACTTCATCTGCCACTGGCTTGGACTGCTGCATTGGAGACGGAGAGCCCTCCATTCCCATCTCTGTTTTTAGGTCATTGATGCTGCTCTCCAACTCATTTATGCGAGAGCCCATCTCGTCAAGTGATCACAGTTAAGGAAACATAACAGAGAATTCATTTAAGCCACTAAATTATTTAACACAGATTGTAAGGTTTCAAACCCCATTAAGATCCAACAATCCCAACTCGCAGCCAAAACCAGTCAACATCGATATAGATAGTTTTACGGAATACTGAATTTTAAGGCTTTAATTAACCAGTCATATTCATTTAAAGAACCAAACTTTCCAATGTATTAACCTAGCATGGATCAATAAGCGCTTTCGAAATTAAAGAAACTGAGAAAAGGATATTCTTCGTGACAATGGAGTCGGACATTGTTTGGAACCTAGATTGCTGCAGACAGAAATTTTATCAGTAATCGTCAGTTAGTTGATTCAACCAACATCAACTCAACTTGAAGTTACAACTCGAAAAACTCACCATTTGTTGAAGAAGATTTTGCACCTGCGAACAAACAAACCCCGAAAAAACATGATAAGAACACCACAGAAGGCGAGATTACCAACATAAAATTCTTTTCCGAACAAGAATCGAAACTTGAAAGCTATGAGAACAATTAGGCACTCACAAAAGCAGACATGTCAGCAGTGCTCTGCTTCGGATCCTCCGAATCATGCCCGTCCTGCAAAGAAAAACAAATTCACAGTAAAATCATACACTTGCACAACCAAAGCGCTCGACAGAGTTGCCCCAACGAACCCCAAAGCCACACGCATTTGGGCGAAGTGCAACAACCAGGGAGAAAGACACAAGCTTTTGCGGTGGAAATCAAAAGTAAACAAAATCTGGGCATCGAAATTTGTAGCTATAAAATTCAAAATTTTGAATTGAATCGAATCGGAGTTGGAAAATTAGGAACCCTAGCGACGAAATTGGGCGAAATTGAACGATTTGTTTCGAGAAAAATAACGAAATAAAGAACGATGAATTGCAATTACCATTCTCTGCAACTTTGGGAAATGTCCTTCTTGCTCCTGCTTCCGTCCGTACAGCAGCTGCAATGGCGATGCGTTGGGTGCTTTGGGTGCGGTGTGGCCTCTGGTTTATAGTTCCGGTGATTCGTTTCCAATGAAGTTACTGATATGACCCTCCTTTTCAACCCAAAATTTCTTCTTCTGGCCAAAGGTGATAGTGGGCATTTTTGGAAAGTGAATGACTTGGAAGTTGGGAAGCAGAGCGCCACTGAAATTCAAATTTTTATTATCACAAAATTAAATTGCTCTGCTTTTTGGTTTTAGAGCAATCATCGGAAAAAGTTTGAACTAAACAAGAAAAGGCTATGTAAGTTTTTGAAACTTCATTTCGTTATTTATGCTCAATTTGACTAATCTGTCAGCTGCAAAATTACGCTCTTTATGAACATGCTGCAAATTACAACTCCAGTTATATATGATCAAACTTCTACACTTTGAGACAAAACTATAGAGGGGATGATTATTAAGGCTAGGTAAACCATAACCGAGAGAGACCATCAAAGCAGAATCAATCTTCACAACAAGATGAGAGATTTTTCCAGCTTTAGAAATCTTCAACCCATAAAAAAAGCCCAAAGCTCAGCATAGAGAACTTCCCCAACTCTTTTTTTTTTTTTTTGCAATAAAACTAGTGATCCAATTACCGTGCCAATCTCTAATTAATCCTCCACTTCCAATTACCGTTAGAACCAAGCCTAGCACCATCCACATTTAACTTAAAGGTCCCAGATGGAGGAGGAACTCAAACCAAGTTAACCTGCACACAATAGTGTCAATCAATCTTGTATAATTAATTCCTCCAATGTCAATGAACAACAACAACAACAACAACAACAACAAAGCCTTTTCCCACTAAGTGGGGTCGGCTATATGAATCCTAGAACGCCATTGCGCTCGGTTTTGTGTCATGTCCTCCGTTAGATCCAAGTACTCTAAGTCTTTTCTTAGAGTCTCTTCCAAAGTTTTCCTAGGTCTTCCTCTACCCCTTCGGCCCTGAACCTCTGTCCCGTAGTCACATCTTCGAACCGGAGCGTCAGTCGGCCTTCTTTGCACATGTCCAAATCACCAGAGCCGATTTTCTCTCATCTTTCCTACAATTTCGGCTACTCCTACTTTACCTCGGATATCCTCATTCCCAATCTTATCCTTTCTCGTGTGCCCACACATCCCACGAAGCATCCTCATCTCCGCTACACCCATTTTGTGTACGTGTTGATGCTTCACCACCCAACATTCTCTGCCATACAACATCGCTGGCCTTATTGCCGTCCTATAAAATTTTCCCTTGAGCTTCAATGGCCTACGACGGTCACACAACACGCCGGATGCACTCTTTCCATCCAGCTCGTATTCTATGGTTGAGATCTCCATCTAATTCTCCGTTCTCTTGCAAGATAGATCCTAGGTAACGAAAACGGTCGCTTTTTGTGATCTTCGCTAGATTGCTCCGGTCATTAGTGTGGATAAGTATATAAATGGATAGAGATAGGAAAACAAACACAAGATGTACGTGGTTCACCCAGATTGGCTACGTCCACGGAATAGAAGAGTTCTCATTAATTGTGAAGGGTTTACACAAGTACATAGGTTCAAACTCTCCTTTAGTGAGTACGAGTGAATGATTTAGTACAAATGACATTAGGAAATATTGTGGGAGAATGATCTCGTAATCACGAAACTTCTAAGTATCGGAGTGTGGTGTCGTCTTGACTTGCCTTATCTGTCTCATAGGTAGATGTGGCATCTTCTCTGGAAGTACTCTTCCTCCATCCAGGGTGGTATCTTTAACTGGTGGAGATGCACAAGGTAATGTATCAATTTCACTTGAAGCTTACTTGTAGTTTCAGGCTTGGTCAAGCGCGATACAAACCATGTAGTAGGAGTCCCCCAAGTCGCCGAGCTAGGGGGTCTGCTGAAAGAGGTGACAGACAAGGTAAGCAATCAGAGCTCCGACTAATTGTTCACCTTCTCCCCATCTTGCAGCAGCATGAAGGATAAAGAGAAGAAAAATGAGAAGAGATGATATGAGATACTTTTGCTTTTGAAGAAGTAACTTTCCACAGGCTTATTCTTGAACTGAGCTGGAGGGTTTTCTGGTTTCCTCCAGAGTATAAGGCCGACTGAAGAATTTGAGGGTCAAAACAAGTCCATCAAATCTAGAGTACGTTCCACCCTTTTGATATGGGATACTTTTGCTTTTGACAGAGTAATGGATGTATCGGCACGTGTGCTGTTACGCTTCCTGGCTGGAAGCTTGATTCCAAGTGCTGACTGATTGCTCTCTTTCTCCTTGTCTTGCAGGTAAAAACAAGGCCAAAAGAAAAAAACAGGGAAAAAGCATGATATGGGATACTCTTGCTTTTAACCCTGATGATATGAGATATTCTTGCTCTAGTATAGCTTGTTTGCAGAGGTATTATCGGGGGGAAAGAAAGCTGAATATTTCGAAAGGCTTTGTTGGGAGTGCCCTCTCAGATATGATGAAGGGTTAAGCATTTTTGCAGGTCTGCCTGTCCGTTGGGGATGGAGGTCGACATATATAGGAGTCTCCCTAACAACAAATAGTAATGCTATTCCTTTACCCTGCTTGGTCATAGCACGGTAGTGGGAGCTGCCAGTTTCACATGTTTTAACTCTGTCAGAGCACTTTGAAAAAGTGGTCTGTGGTATCTGGCTCTCGAGATTCGGAGAACGATGCCTCTTCGATTTTTGAGAAAGCAATCATGCTGGAGGTCTGACTCTCGAGATTCGGAGAGCAGTGTCTCTTCGATTTTTGAGGAAGTAAAAAAATGAATTAACTTCCACCATCTTCCTTGATCAAAATTCAAACCTCATTCAAAAATCGAAAGAGAAGTACTACTAGATCAAGAGCTAGTTGGTCAATCGTCTAATACTTTCAAATTCTCGAAAAATTATAAGCTAAACATCGGAAACTGCCTGTCTTCGATTCCGAAACTCGACTGTGTCCTCAAAACAAGAAGAGCACCAATCGGAACAACAATTTCAAGAGAACCCTAATGCTTGGTAGAGTACAAGGGAAGAAAAAGAAGCTGGAAGTTGCCTTTGTTCTACATTAGCGGATTTAGAATCGTCCGTATAAGCGTTGTTTAAGAAGAACTAGTAAATGCAGCATCATTTATCTTTGTTTTGAGTCGATGCTTTGTCGTCCACATAAGGATATTCAGGTGGGGCGGACCACAGACCGACCAGTATTACTAGGTGGAGAAAAAGAAGCATTGCCGACGAGTAAATGCTAGAAGGAAAGACGTTCCAGCAAAACTCCACCCCAATAAACAACATTACACTGTCCAAAGTAAACGAAGTTCAATCAACAAAATGATCGGTATCAAAGTAATAATCATACAAGAATTAGCGAAGACTATGTAGCCTAAGGATTCAATGATAAAGCAACCTACCGCAGTACTGTGGGGAAAGGCGTTTTCCACAATAGATAAGGTAAGCTATGGAAATACCTGCAGTCGGACACAAAAAGATCTTTGTGTGTTATGAACAAAATAAACGAATATATAGCTTATAGATCAAGAATTTTAGTAGAACGACTCCAAATAGTTTTGAGATATATTGACATCGATTGCATTCAGATTCAGGCCCTCAGCTTTCCTACCATCACGTTTGAGGATACAACTTTTACAGATCCTTCTATATTGTAAATTAGTTACCATGCATTTACAAGTAGAGCTGTCCGGCTACAAGTTATAATTTATACAGAACATCATCCAGCAAAACTTACCAAGAGTAGAACTGATAATGCAATGATCGAGCACATACAATGCCGATGAAATTCCCAACAAACATAGTTGTCACAATATCTAAAATTACCATGCCCACGTTAGTATCAACTATAAGGAAACGTAGAAAGGAAAAAAACCTCATTACAGAGGCCTTCTACTTACATTCTTTCCTAAGAACTCTGGCGGATGAATGGCTACTGGAGGACTTCTTCAAAGGGAATGAACTTGTCAGAGCAAATTTGAGTTTTAAAGGATCAAGTCTAGAATACAAAAATTTGAAGAGTCCGCCTTCATGCCTGCACAAGACAATTACCAAAACATATTCAGCAAAAATACACAATCATTTGGCCATCTATAAATACCAGTCACTTGTCAAGATACTAGAGAATTGCATGTTATTGTAGACAAGAGCCTATCTTAGTGCCTGCTTGCCAGTAGAGTCGTATCAGGAGGTTGTTATGACTATGGAAATATGTTGAGAGCAGAACAAATGTTTTCATTTGGCGAGAACATATTCATAAACTCAATTTTACAACTTCCAATTATCTTGTGGGAAAAATAGAACGATCCTTACACCTAACACATAAACCACGCCAATTCCCAATACAACTTATTAAAAAGAATTACACAGTTATGCTTACATGCACCATCTATAATGAGCAAAAGCTGTGAGTAAACCAAGGTGAGCAATCAGCAACAAGATTGCAAATGCCTTCGATACAAATATTGGCTCAGGAACAAACTTGAAATTAACAGACCTGAGAAAAAGATTGCATGTTACTTTCCAACGACAAAGTGCACGAAATAATCAAGGAAAGGAATTTCAAATGAAAAATAGACCATGTATTGCTAAATGAGCTCAAAAATATGAACGGAAAAAATTTATTTAAAGATCTTAAATTATATGTTCAAAGAATGTACCAGAAGTGGATAAAGACTCGACCGAGATTAAAGGCTCTTGAGACGTATGCAAATGGATGAGACATGATGAAAGGCATCCCCAACAGTATCTGCAGAACCATTCAGCAAATAGCTGTCAACAAATGAACACCCTGATTGGAAAATGCTCATGAATTGAGGATCTTGAAGTCTAGCTCACCTAAAAATGTTGGAATAAAACACATACATTCAACTTCCGCATTACCAAAGTAGCTTACTCTGAATTTTAAGAATGGAAAAGGAAAACTAATAATGTACATCAAGGCTGCAAGGCTGAATCAACTGAAAACTTTCAAGCCTATGCAAACATTATTTTGTTGAAAACAAAAGGAAGAGGTAAGCACCTGTAGCAACGCTGCACCAGCTAAAGCTGATATCACTCCACTGATACTCATAGCCTGTAAAAGATGTGTTGGTGCTTGAGAAATTTTAG